AACAACAACAACAAAATCAAGCGTTAAAAACAGGTTGAAGGAAAGGTCAAGCACAGTTCCAGAAAAAATCAAGATTTCAGTGTAAATTGTTTTAGATGACACTGAACTCCAGAGAAACACAAGACACAAGTCAGTTGATCTCAACGGCAGGGAACTTGGTATTAAGCCACAAAATAAAGCAGAGAGAATAATTCAGACATAACTCAAACTTGAAGCAAATATTTCTGTGGCAGATTAAGCTAGTAGCCAAACCAACCACAACAGCAGCACAAGCATTTTTTTAAAAATTAACTCTTTAACGTCGTAACGGCCACATATGTCCGACCAGAAAACAGACTAAAAGCAATGCTACGGCATATTTCAAAGCTTTATACAATACATAATGTTGTTGCCTGCCTATCTATGTTTTAGGTCATGAAAACAGAATTGAAAAAAAATTGGCATGAATAACCAGGTAAAGCATCTATTTTTTTATTAAGTACCCCAAAACAGCGCGTCCTCAGTGCGTTAAAAAAAAGAACAGAGAAATCGTAATCCACATAAAACATTATTAAAAATTCACAAGAAGTGGAGTGTTGGCCAAATTTATATAAGACACACAAAAAATTAAATAATAAAACCCATGCCCCTGCAATCTCATCAATAATCTATAGTCATCAAGATTATAACCAGATAGTTACCTGTCACCAGCTCACAAGTCACCTCGATATCTTCTTGACCAGGCATGAAGATCAGAAGATCACCTGAAATGAAGACGAGTGGATGAAATACATCATTCCACAAGAGGAAATGTGTAGATCCAACACTTACTATGGAAAAAATACAGCTTGAAGAAACTTTTAACTTGTGTTTATTCCGTCTCATGAAAACCATTAGCCTGTCAAAAAAGCACTTCATAATATCATGCATAAAGAAAAAAAAATATGAATACATTTGATATTTTCAAAACACAAACAGAGAATAGTAATTCTATGAAGTGACTACACATCTGAATACAAGACTGGCCATTTGAGGTAGACAGTACAGATAAAAAGGTCACACATTTAAAATCAATAGCACTGTGAGTTTGAAAAACCTGCAGGCCACTCCCCTAAGACCTAGCCAGGGGAAAAACAGGAGTACTAGAATTTTATTCAGATTTAAAGGCACAACGTACTGCAGAAGAAAAAGAAGTAGGTCTCAATCTAGAACATACCAGGCAACCCTCCAAGATGCACTTGCAAAGCCTGTTTCACAGCTGCGTCCACATAGTCTTCTTGTGGGTTTTTGGCCTACAACACATTCAAAAGGAACGTAAGACCAGGAATGGTGAACACAGGAACATTGCCAAAGAAAGTGGCAAACTTGGTGGCATCCATTGTGGCAGACGTCACTATCAGTTTCAGGTCATGGCGTCTTGACACCACCTTAAATGAAATAAATAAATTCATATAAACTTCACATGTTATTATGTGCAACATGTTGCAATATTTCCAAATTATGAAAACAATAGTAAAAGACAAAGGTTGAAAATTAGTCAATTTTTTTTCTTCAGTATATCGTAAGGTGTGCTCATACCCTACCTCTTACTCTCTGCAAAAAGAGGGACAAATCAACTTCAAAATAAAAGAGCATAGGCCTTTCAGGGAATGAAGCAAAAGAATTCGTCAGGCCTTAACCAATGTAAAGAAAGTGGAAATGAAAGCAGACAACAAAACATTGGTGGGAAAAAATCCACTCAACTTTTGTGAGGCAGCGTGGTGGAATCAGGCTCTCGTCAATTTTGGGGCATGTAGAGTTATTGGTATCATCTTAAAGCTTGTTCACTTGTCTTTATTTGGATTTTAAAAATATCCATTTATCTTCAATTTGAATACAAGTCGAGATATTTACGAAAGAAGGAGATGGGGGTCACCTGTTTTCAGAGGTAAAATTAGTGAGAAAATGGCCGCCAGAGATTAGTTATTTCCTTAGCTTAAGAGTCCGTGGTAACTGAAAAGTTACATTTTTCGTGCCTTTAATCAACATTTTTCAGAAAAATCCACACTGAAATGAGTTCCTTAATGGGCATAAAAGGTGTTGAGCCAAAAAACAAAAATTTGATAAAAGTTCACAAACCTGCGGAAAAATGCGGGTTAGTTCACTTTCATTATTTTGACGAGAGCCTGATTCCACCACGCTGCCTCACAATTAGACAAGTGCATAGCTGTGTATACGGCTGATAGGTTACGATAACATCTGATGCTTTGCGATAACGGTTGTCGTTTGTCTGTTTTACGCACCATAAATCAAACTGCCTCACCATGGCATCCCTTCATGACACATGCCACCACGTAAAAAAACGACGTGAAATATCAACAAGTTTACAAACTGTAAAAAAGACACCATCATAGCCTGCTAATTCTGCCAAAGCATCTCAAGGCAAAGAGCAATATTAATTTTACTAAGACGCCAACGCATTTCATATCAAAGTTTCAAGAAAGAAAGAAAATTACTGCGTAAGTCCTTTTCGAAGCACTTCTGAATTTAAAAACATTTTTTTAACCCATTGGTTTTGCTAAGCCACTTGTTGGTTATACTTTCTCCGTTTCTTAGTGTCTTAGCTTTCAGAAGTGTTTTACGGCATCTGAAGCACAAATAGGCCATATAAGTGCCAAAGATTAGCGTTATTACAAGAAAGTACATTTTCTTAAAGGAGACAATACATGTGGAAGTTTGATAGGACAGAAGTTTCATACCACACCAGAGCACCCACCAACCACCCACTTTCCGTGTCTGCTACAGGCACACAACTTGTAAGGTAATTTAGTTACTTTCAGGCTACTTTCACTTTTACTCATGTAACACACTTGAAAAATTACGTTTACTTTACTCAAGTGAACAAAATATGCCATTACCCCATTTCTACTTGCGCAACAATTTAGTCATTACTAATCCAGCTCTGGCTATGAATGTCGAAGGGTATCTCACTTAAAAAGCTTGAAACGTAAATTAAATAATTCGGGCATGGTTGAATTTTCCGGTAGATAAAAGAAAGGATGGCAGAGATGAAACTGATGCAGGACCAAATTCATTTAAAAGTCGACATTTTATGGTTTTTGGCCTATAAATATTGGTTCATGACAGTGTGTCGTGAGCCTACTTTTTTCCAGGCCATCACACATCCATACGTAAATGAGTGCCAGTCAAATACATGTGTCATATATGTACATATATATTAATACGTGTGTTTGTGTACGTACGTGTGCATGTATGAATATCATATGTATGTATCTAAGGATGAATGATCTCTGCTTATTTTCATCAAGAGGAAAGGGTAAGAAAACCAAGCAATGCTTTTCTTGACCGCTTTTGAAGACAATAAGCAAGTGAGTCAAAAGTACACCTTGCACCCATGCATAGTTTAGGGATTTTTGTATCGTACTGGAATGAGTGATAAGAACGAAATCCAAATAAATACACACTTCGGAGCTTTTGTACTGTGCTGTAAACCAATATGAGAAATAAACATGTTGCTGTGAACACAAAACCCTAGTGGTACTTCCATCTTTTGTCTGCAATCGAACATATGTGCGTATGGGTAGTCATATGTTTGTGTGTGTGTATGAGTTTCATGTGGGGGTTTTTCAGCAAGAGTTTTATGGCACTTGCAACACAATAAGGTCAGATAAGTGCTGAAGATAAGATTAAGAGGTGTTACAAGAGAGTACCAAACACAAAAAAGGAAGAATGATCAGGACGATAGATGTCTGATAGGCAAGAAAGAGCAAACCACACCAGAGCACCCCCCCCCCAACCACCCACAGTCTCATGTGTGCTTTGTGGGTGACTGTATTCATGAGAGGAAGGGAGGGAAGCAGGGGAAGAGAGAGAGAGAGAGAGAGAGAGAGAGAGAGAGAGAGAGAGAGAGAGAGAAGCCGGCTGCATTCTCGAATTCAAATCTATAGACCTAGCTCCATGACATTGCTAAGAGGGAGACGTTGCCGGCTCCTCGTTCGTGCAAAACACGCCTATTTGCAACAGTTAATACATAACATTCTTTCGAGATCTACTGCCGAGATTGAAACAGTATTCGTATTTCCAGCAGGTCTCAGATTTCTTGCTGCGGCACCAGATATACGATAATTACGTTTCAAAGGAAACGCTTTATTTCTGACACCAAGGTGTAAGAAAACGGACACCTCAAATCTTAAGCCTTATCTATGCTAGATGCATAAATATACAATGATAAAATAATGTATTTATGCTTATTAAAAATCAAGTTCTATGGAAACTTCTCATTATATGAAACTGTTGCCTTTCAGAAGCACACATACTACGCAGGTGTGTTTTTACTATAGGTAGATACAGGAAGAGACGAAAGCTGTGGATCTATTTCTCACAATAGGACATTTTAGAGGTGGGTATGGAACGACATGTAATTTGGCTCGTGCGGAAAAAAAAGAGGTGGGGGG